ACTCATGAACTGTGAAATCATGACCTGATAGAGATCATGACCTGAGCTAAAGCTTAACTGACTGAACCACCCAGGAACCCCTCATTTGCTAGCGTCTTAATGGACAAAGCAAGTTATATAGCCAAGACCAGATTCAAGTCACCCAAAAACTTGAGGAAAACTTAACTCCATCTTTCCCAGTTTGTTTTTTTTAAGATTTTATTTTTAAGTGATCTCTACACCCAAAGTGGGACTTGAACTTATGACTCTGAGATCAAGAGTCACATGCTCTACAGGGGCGCCTGGGTGGCTTAGTCGGTTAGGCGTCCGACTTTCGCTTAGGTCATGATCTCGCGGATCGTGGGTTCGAGCCCCGCATCGGGCTCTGTGCTGACAGCCAGCTCAGAGCCTGGAGCCTGTTTCAGAGTCTGTGTCTCCATCTCTCTCTGACCCTCCCCTGTTCACGCTGTGTATCTCTCTCTCTCCTAGAAATAAATAAAAATTAAAAAAAAAAAAAAAAAAAAAAAAAAGAGTCACATGCTCTACCGACTGAACCAGCCAGAGGTACCCCCTCCAACCCTACATCTCTTGATGAACGAAATGGCAATATATTGTGACTTTTTCTTCCCCAAATCTATGACACTGTGCATGCGTGTGTGTGTGTGTGTTTGTGTGTGTGTGTGTGTGTGAAGGTGGAGATTTTCAAAGAAAGTGTTGTAAACAAGGCAATTCATGTTGACAATATAAATGAACTGAATTTACCTTATGATTACCTTGAACCTCCCACTTGACCTTAGCAATAAATGCATAACCACAAAGACGGTGATATGTGAACTTATAAATAGAGATATGATGGAATGATATAAGTGATCAAAGAAGCCTTTAGTTTGCCTCAGATGTTTGTGAGAAGTTAGCCATTTCCTGCCCTCTGCATATTTCTGGTATGACCATTGTCCCAGGTTTTGTTTCAGAAGCCTTGGCAGCCTCTGAAAACAGACTGTGTCACTGGGAAATGTTGTGCAAACCAGATCCTGCTGTCTGCTAGTCATAAACATGTTCTTTCCAAGAATGGACTCTCCAAAACAATATGCTCTAATGCTCTTTGGGTCAAAATTAACTATAAAAGTGTAGAAGTCTTGCTTCTGACTGCCAATTAGTGGATAGGTGAGTCTAGAACCAAGACTAACGCATCAGCCGTTTGGCCTTTTAGAATTTTTGTTGTGGAATTTTGGTTTCTTCTTTTTAAATAAAGAGGAGTACAAACTTTCACTAGTATCATTGTGTAGTGGCTAAGAACATGGACTCTGGAGCCAGAATTCAGAGTTCAAATCCTGACTTTCCCACTCACTACGACCTTGGGCAATTTACTTAGCCAATATATGCCTCAGTTTCCTTTTCTTTAATATGAGGTGTAATCCTAATAATTGTTACAAGGACTAAATGGGTGAATAATTCTGAAGCAGGGAATGAATGTTCCCTGCTTGGAACAGAACCAATATGACACAATCTGAAACATTCTTAGAGATGTCAGTGTGTTATGAAGATGATTATTCATGTCCCGAGTCATAAAAAGGCCTCACCTTTTTTTTTTTTGTGGAATAACAGCAGCAGCAGCTCAGGGAGTGGAGGGCAGTCAAAGAGTACTCAGACAATTTACAAATTGCATTTGTGGTGTAAGGCTCAGGTAAAGAGGCGGTCAGTGTGAATACTGAGGTTTAGAGAATGTCAGAGGACTTCAATCATCCATGCTTTCTTAGCCTCCTCATTCCATAAGCTGTGTTTTTAAGTGAAGTCAAATGTTAACAAACTGTTATGAAAATCACAGTCTATATCCTCAATCCATACATGCAAGCCAGCCTTGGCATTCTTGAGCTATCCATCAAAAAGCAGCAACTTTCAAAAGAACAGCTGATGTGAAAAAGAATAAGAGCCTGATGTAATTATTCAAGAGGCATTAAATAAGCTAATTCTCTACTTCCCATTTTTAAAGAGAGTTTCAAAGAACACAAGAGAAGTTTAAATGACTGTACAGAGTAGTAAGCAAATTCCTTGATGTCAACATTGGAATACATTGGCTTTTATTTTTAGGTTGATTAAAACATATGTATGCCCCACCTCAAATGCCCATTTCCACCATCATTTCATCTTATCATCCCTCCTGTCCACAGAGCCAACGCAAATATTTGCTGAATGAAATGATAAATAGCTTCCTCCATATAGCTGATCTCACAAAACACTTAGGAAACAATTACTCTCTGAACTCTGAGTGTATAGATATTTTTGAAAGGTGGGCAGATATTTGAGGGGGATTTAACCTAGTAACATAGATCCAAAGAAGGCTACATCTGAATAGATTTAGGATTACTAATATTCTAAGAATGTGGAACCACAAAGAACTGAAAAATAGGATTTTTTTTTTCCTGATTGGGGATCATTTGCAATCTCACTTTCAACCTTTGTCATCTGGTTCTTGCCTTCTCCCCTCAATCCCATGCCACCTCTGCCCCTTAAGGAAATGGGTTTCCTTTCCGCGTTGTTGCCTTACTGACTACATTTTACAAAAATTAATTTTAAGAAAAAGATTCAGTCTATCCTCTTCAATGAGATGTGTTTCCGGCTTCTATGAGGTTTCATGAAATCTCTAGAGCACTGAGCTCTGCCCACATGAATAATTTGGAAAAGATGAATTGTGTTGGAAGAAGGAAAGGCTAGTTCTGGATTAGATTAATGGGATTGAGACATTTGTTATTCTTAAGAAACAAGCCGGAGGAAATAAAATGGTAAGATTCAGGAATTTTGTTAAGGTTATAGTGTTTGCTGGCAAGAATGCCTGTGTCCTTTGACATTTATATTTATCCAAATATTCCAGTTACTCTTACTGCGACATAGACTGCATCAAGCTTAACGTAAAACAACTATCATTTTACTATGATTCTGGATCCCACGGGTGAGGAATTAAGAGAGGGCACAGTGAAGACATCTTGTTTCTGCTCCTTGACATCTGAGGCCTCATTTGGGAAACCTCAAACAGCAGGAAGTGACTTGAGAGCTTGAGGCTGACATTGTCTGAAGGTCTGTTGACTTATAAGTCTGGCGGTCTTTACTGGCTGCTGGCTGGGAGCTTAGCTGAGTTGTTGGCGGGAGCACCAGCACATGGCTTCTCCATGTCACTGCTTGAGCTTCCTCATCGCAAGGTGGCTGGGTTCTAGGAGCGAGCATCCCAAGATGACATGGGCGAAGCTGTCCTATCTTTTATGATCCAGACTTGGAAGTCACACAGAGTGTCAATTCCACCATAGTCTCAAGTCCACCCAGATTAAAACGGAGGGAATATGGCTACATTTTCCCATGTCAGTTTTACTGACTGCCAGTTAAGAAGAGAGAGAATGGAGATATTGTGGCCATATTTGGAGAATACAAGGTGCCACACTGGGCCTAAAATATATTTTAACTTTTCTCATATGGTAGTGTGGAGAATGAAGTTCTCTTTGGCCCTTGAATCTAATTTGAACAAAAGTAATCGTATCCTTTTCTCTGTAAACTGGTGAGGATGGAAAATAACACAAACCAAGATAGTGAAAGTGGGAATAATTGATAATCACGAGTCCTCCTTGAAACCCAAGAATATACTAAAACTAAACAAAGAGGGTTAGGGTGAGTGAAAGAAGATGGTTGATCAAATTAACAGCAGCCTTGGGGAGAAGCTGGGGGGAAAAAAAAACCTTGGTAAAGCCAAGTATCAATGAAGCAAGAAGTCTCTCTGGGGAATCAATCCCAAACTAACAAATGAATCTTTGGGTTTAATGTGGTGCTTATGCCTAACATCCTTTTTTCCCTCCCAGAACCAAATTTGGTGTTTAGAAGGCTCAATGCAACCACTCTTTGCAGGTAGCCCAAAGAGGTCTCTTTGCCCCCATTTCCCCTTCATCTTTTTCGTCTCCTACTTTCTCTGGCACCCAACATTATTCCAAGTTCAATCTCAACTCCAAAAAGGCATGTACTTCTGGTAAATTTCTGGGAGAGAGCACTCTTTCACTCCACTGCATTTCTGTATTATAAATTTCTGCTCGGGGGGGGGGGGGTGCCTAGGTGGCTCATTTGGTTAAGGGACCCTTGAATTTGGCTCAGGTCATGATCTCCCAGTTCTCCTGAGATCAAGTCCACATCAGCTCTGTGCTGACAGCAAGGAGCATACTTGGGATTTTCTTCTCTTTCTGTCCCTCCCCTCCCTTCTCTCTCTCAAAATAAATAAACTTAAAAAAAATTTTTTTAAGGTTTTTTCTGGTAGACTTGAGATTTTTTCTCTCTCTGTCCCTCCCCTCCCCCCTCTCTCTCTCAAAATAAATAAACTTAAAAAAATTTTTAAAGTATTTTTCTGGTAGACTTGAGATTCTCCCTTAAATACTAGATTTCTACCATCACCTGAAAATGTGTAGTGATAAAAGTTTTCCTTCTTAATTAGTTTGGGACATTTATAAAAATGCAGTATGAAGGGAATGACCCTAATAGCAATGTGGCAGGCAGAATTATGGCCCCTCAAAGATATCTATGTCCTTATCCCTGAGACCTCTGAGTATGTTACCTTACATGGCAAAAGGGTCTTTGCAGAGGTGATTAAGTGAAAGATCTAGAGATGGTGAGATTATCCTGGATTATCTGGTTGGGACCAATGTAATCACAAGTGTCCTTATAAGAGTGAGGTAGGAGGGTCAGAATCCAAGAAGGAGATATGATGATGGATGAAGAGGTGGGAGAAAGAGAGAGAAAGTTGAAGATGCTAAGCTTCTGGAAGATGCGGGAAGGGACCACAAACCAAGGAATGCAGGCAGCCTTTTGAAGTTAAAAGAGGCAAGAAAACAGATTCTTCCCTAGAGGCTCCAGAAGAAATCCATTCCTGTTGATCCATTTTGGACTTCTGAAAATCAAACTGTAACATAATAAACGTGTTTTGTTTTAAACCGCTAAGCAGTAGGTAAGTAATACAGACAGACAACTTATTTTTCTTGTATCATTTGTCTCAGAAACAACAGGAAGCTTTTGGTGAAAGCTGCTCGGGGAAGAAATGTTTCTTCAAATCTTCATGGACTGAGTTTGAATCAGTATGAAAGGTGTTCGAATGAAGTCTTGGAGAGTAACTTCCAGAAGCTACACAGGAAGATATGGAGAATAATAAAATCTGATATTACTGTTCTTTTTTATTTTACTTTTTTTGATATGAAGAAATATTTTTTAAATAGTTTATTATCAAGTTGGTTTCCATATAACACCGAGTGCTCATCCCAACAAGTGCCCTCCTCCATGCCCATCACCCCCTTCCCCTCCCCCTCCCCCATCAGTCCTCAGTTTGTTCTCAGCATTCAAGAGTCTCTCACGGTTTTCCTCCCTCCCTCTCCCCAACTATTTTCCCCCCTTCTTCTCCCCCATGGTCCTCCATTAAGTTCCTCTTAATTCTCCTATACATGCAAACATATGGTATCTGTCCTTCTCTGCCTGACTTATTTCGTTCAGCATAGCACCCACAAGTTCCATCCATGTTGCTACACGTGGCCAGAATTCATTCTTTCTCATTGCCATGTAGTATTCCATTATATAGATAAACCACATCTTCTTGATCCATTCATCAGTTGTTGGACACTTGGGCTCTTTCCATGTTTTGGCTATTGTTGAGAGTGCTGCTATGAACATTGGGGTCCATGTGCTCCTATGCATCAGCACTCCTGTATCCCTTGAGTAATTCCTAGCAGTGCTATTGTTGGGTCATAGAGGAGTTCTATTGTTAGTTTTTTGAGGAACTTCCACACTGCTCTCCAGAGGGGCCGCGCCAGTTTACATTCCCACCAGCAGTGTAGGAGGGTGCCCGTTTCTCCACATCCTTGCCAGCATCTAGAGGCCTCTGATTTGCTCATTTTAGCCACTCTGACCGGCTTGAGGTGGTATCTCTGTGTGGTTTTGATTTGTATTTCCCTGATGAGGAGGGATGCTGAGTATCGTTTCATGTGTCTGTATGCCATCTGGATGTCCTCTTTGGAGAAATGTCTGTTCATATCGTCTTCTGTTCATATTTCTTCACTGGATTATTTGTTTTTCAGGTGTGGAGTTTGGTGAGCTCCTTATAGATTTTGGATACTAGCCCTTTATCTGACATGTCATTTGCAACTATCTTTTCCCATTCTGTTGGTTGCCTATTAGTTTAATGGATTGTTTCCTTTACTGTTCTTTTTTTAATGTTTATTTATTTTGAGAAAGAGCATAAGTGGGGGAGGGGCAGAGAGTGGGAGGGAGAGACTCCCAAACAGGCTCCATACTCAGTGTGGAGCCCGAAGTGGGGTTCAATCTCATGAACCTCAAGATCATGACCTAAGCCCATAGTGACCTGAGCCAACATCAAGAGTCAGATGCTTAACTGACTGAGCCATCCAGGCATCCCTGATATCACTGTTATAAAAACAATTTTCCTCTTGCTTAGGACACAACTATTCACATGGAGTATAACATAAATATATTTGACAAATGTATTTAATATATAGTATTTAAACATATTGTATTTAACTGATTAAGTTACAACAAACCTGGATCATATTTATGTAAATGGAAATATGCTTAAAATTTGTCTAGAAAATTATTGACACTTCTGACCCCAGGTTGCATGAAACAGTGATAAATGCCAAGGGTCAATAGACTATTCAAGTCTCATGAGTAATGTTATGAAATTAGACATGGCTAAATGCTACAAATATCTATGATTAAAGAATGGAATAGTTTATGTTTTTCATATCTGTGTTAGGGTATATAAAGAACATGATTCTTTTTTTAATTTTTTTAATGTTTATTTTTGAGAGAGAGAGAGAGAGAGACAGAGTGGGAGAGAGGCAGAAAGAAGGAGACACAGAATCCGAAGCAGGCTCCAGGCTCTGAGCTGTCAGCACAGAGCCCACATGGGGCTCAAACTCACAGACCTGTGAGATCATGACCTCAGCCAAAGTTGGATGCGTAACCGACAGCCACCCAGGCAACCCTCTTTTTTTTTTTTTAATTTTTAATGTTTATTTATTTTTGAGAGAGAGAGATATAAAGTGAGTGGGGGAGGGTCAGAGAGAGAGGAAGACACAGAATCTAAAGCAGGCTCCAGAATCTGAGCTATCAGCACAGAGCCAAGGTGAGGCTAGAACTCACAAACCTCGAAATCATGACCTGAGCTGAAGTTGGATGTTTAACCGACTGAGCCACCCAGGCACCCTAAATAACACAATTCTCTTGAGAGAATTGTCTGAATCATGTCTTCATCTGCCCCTTCAAATTTAGTTGGTGCCCTTCTTCTTCTTTTTTTTTAAATATTTTTATTTATTTCTAGGAGACAGAGAGAGAGACAGCGTGAGCAGGGGAGGGTCAGAGAGAGAGGGAGACACAGACTCCGAAACAGGCTCCAGGCTCTGAGCTGGCAGTCAGCACAGAGCCCGACGCAGGGCTCGAACCCACGAACCACGAGATCATGACCTAAGTGAAAGTCGGACGCTTAACTGACTAAGCCACCCAGGTGCCCCTAGTTGGTGCCCTTCTTAACCCTGCTCTGTGCCCTGGAAGGCTGGGCTAACATGGGCAAATTCAATAGGCTGCCTGGCTTTCCTGTCCTTTGGCTTGAGACTTTGGCAGAAGTCCTCAGCAGATCAAAAGGGAGTACGAAGGGTGAGGTGGGAGAATATGTTCTCCCAACATCCTCCTAAGTAAACTAGTACTCAAATCCTTGATTCAGAGTCTCCTTCAGGGGATCCAATCTAAGACAGCATGATTATCTGGGAACTACCCCCATCTTCAGGGTAGGGTCAGAGAGAGAGGAAGACATAGAATCTAAAGCAATCTTCCTGAAATCTTGCTTGTACTTCTCGTAGCTGGCTGGACCCAAGCTACACCTATCAGCTTCTCTTTCCCTGGAATCTTGTATTGGAACAGAGAGGATCTAGGTCAGTGTCTGCAGGAGGCTGGTGCTCTCACATGTGAACTCAGGAGCTTTGCAAGTGTAGGGAAGGGTTAGGGAAGCAGAGAATGCCATTCTGCAGGATGGGGCAGAGGGGTGATACAAGGAGGCAGGGGAGAGAGAGAGAGAATGGCCCAGAGAATCAGAGAAGAGACTTAGCTTCTTGACCCAGTCCCTTCCTAAAATCCTCCTACACCTGGCTCCTGCTTTGTGAATTATGTCAATATAGGTACAATATAGGTATAAATTCTTCATTGTGTCTCAAGTAGCTCAAGTAACTTCTATAATATACCATCAAAGAATCAATTAACCCAGAAAATTCATCATAAAATTACACTCACTCTCAGTGAGTCAGAAAGTTCTGCTCCACTACACCCCCTGTGAGAATTTCCTTCTCAAAGGCTTGAAAGCACAATGATTATTAATCTCTCCACAGGTGAATGAACAAAGGCTTCAACCACCCTCCGGCATTTACAAAATCTGTCCTAAAGACCTGGTTGGCACATACAGCCAGGTGTTTGTGGTCCAAGACAACACAGAATGGAACAATTTATTCTCTAATTACTCTACTGGAGCAGCACAAGCTCACCAGGCAGCCCCGATTTAGAGACAGGTGGCAGGAGGAGGAAGTTGGAGAAAGTCAAATATGCTCCAACAGGACAGACTGTGACAGCAGTTCAGCAAGCTCCCCAGCTCCTGCTACTGCCTGCCAGTGTTCTGAATCTGCAGCTTCCTTGCCTTTACTGCTGAGCCACCCAAATGGGCGGGTGTCATAGGCTGCTCCCCGTATGATGCTGTTATTGGGGGAGCTACAGTACCCTGATCAAAAGTATCCCCTTTCTGCCAGCCTGCCACAATTCATAAATTCTCATTATTGAGTTGTTCTTCTGGTTAAGCGATTATTTCCAGAATGTCACTGGTAAGGTACAGACATCCTATAAAGGTACAGAAGAAAGACTGGGAACGTTGTTACCTTGCTGTTCAGGATAGGGTGGCAGCAGAAAGAATTTTTTTAAATGCTTTTTGATGATCAGAGGAAGATACCAGAAAGAGATTGGAGAAGGAAGCATTAAAGGACCTTAATTAAGGGAATTAGAATCATTGTGGAACAAATACCTGTTGAGTTGCTGTCCTAGGCATTGGGAAGACAAAAAAAACCCCTAAAAAACAGACTTCTGCTTTTATGAAACATAGAGATTAAAGAAGAAGATGGATAGAGATCAAAGAGTCAGTCCAAGATGGTGATTCTCAACTACGGGCGATCTGAGAATTTCTGGAGACGTTTTGGTCACAGCTGGAGGAGTTGTTCCTGGCATCTGTCTATTGAGCAGACACCAGGGATGCTGCTAAACATGCTATGATGCACAGAACAACTCCTCCACAGTAAAGAATTATCTGGCTCAAGATGTCAATAAACATGGTTGATAAGCCCTGTGTAAGACAGTGATTCTCAAAGTATGGTCCCCGACAGGCAGCATCAACATCATCTGGGAAGTTGTTAGAGATGCAAACTCTTAAGCCCTATCCTAAACCTGCTGAATCAGAAATTCTGGGGGGTAGAAGCCCAGTATTCTGTGTTTTAACAAGCCCTCCAGGGGACTCTGATGCACGTTAATGTTTGAGAACCACTAAATTAAAGAATGAAGGAATCTATCATTACAAGTGAAGGCAAATGCTCTGAAGGAAAAGAATTCTGTACCAGTGCTGCTCAAAAAGTGGTTTACCCACTATTGGTAACATCATTATTGGAGAGCTTATTAGGAATACAAATTCCTGGGTCCCACCTTTGACTTGCTCAATCATGGAGAGATGTGTAGGGGCTAGATTGAGAAAACCATTGTGGGCCATTCTAAGTAACTAAGACTTTACATGACGGGAAATTGGAAATCTCTTGACTCTGGATATATCAAGTTCTGGCAATAAGCAGGATTAGGTTGGAGAAAAGATTAGAGGGAAATCAGATGGAAGGTTGTTGAGGTAGCTCCATGGGGTTATGAACTGAGGCAGAGGTAGCAGAGATAGAATAAGGGAAGTATATGTGGGAGAACCCCAGGAGGAAGAGTGTATAGGATGTAATGACTGATTGGATCAGGGATGAGGTGTGCCAGGAATTGTTTTGACTGGAAGTAACAAAAATACCCCAATTTAGAGTGGCTTTAAAAAAGAGGAATTAATTTTTCCCCATAG